GGGGCACATCGTTATTGAAGTTGGTGAGGCCCTGGCATGGAGATGGCCGTCAGGCCCACCCTCCTCCATGACACTCTGCAATTGCTGTGTCCCTTGCGGGGACCCATGTGGCCTCTCTGTGCCTTGGCTAGTGCAGTCACTATGTCTAGAGATGATTAAAAAAGAGAAAATCCCATTTGAAACGAAGCAGTCTTTTAAATTATCCATAGGTGGTGTGACAGGCATACTTCTTAATTGCTAATTATTGTTAAGTGGCTCCCTCTGGAAGGGAGTGTGCCTCATCAGTGGGCTGCAGCACCGAAGCAATCAAGTGAGGACCCTGGGCCAGTGGACAGAGGATCAGCAATTAAGGTGGCTTCGGGCTGGGATCTGAAGCTGGGGCCTGTCTGAGAGGGAACACGTGGCCACTGGATGGCAGTTTTCAGGGGGGCAAGAGTGGTTGTCTTTATAACCTCTCTGCAGGGGCCTCCTAGGCAGCTAACCTCCTCTGGACCGTGTCCTTGTGTGTCCCTGGGACATGCCGTTTACCCAGAGATCTCCCTTCCTCTAGAAGGTGCTAAGACCAAGGAGATGCACACCATTTCTCCAGGAAGATCTGGAAGTTACTGCTTTTTGGGGAAGGACCCAATACAGCCAGGCACCGTGGGAGACCTTGAATATCCCCAGTGCAGCGCGCCTGGGCTCCTAATTGTTCAAATGCACACGTGCTAAGCTTCCGAATGCTGAGATGTGTCTGCGGGTGTGTGGGTGGGGTAGGGAGGTAGAGGAAAATGCCTCACACCTGGTAAAGGAAACCTGCTGAGGCTGCCTTACTGGGCTGCTTCCTCTACAAGGTAGACTTTGGCCCGAATTCTGCTTTCCTTGGGATGATCAAGTTCCTTCCCTTTCATTTTTTTCTTTCCCGTCTCACTTCCCACGAGGGGGAATCACCACCTCCTGGTGACTTCTAGCCACTTACTGGACCAATCCCCAGTTCAAAATCCGGCTGGTCGAAGTGGATGACCACCAGGAGGGGGGCACCGGTGAGCCCCGCTGTAAAGTGCTGCTGGGTCTGATGCAGAAGAATCGCAGGCGACAGAAGAGGATCGGACAGGGCATGCTGAGCATCGGCTATGCTGTGTACAAGGTCAGCCTGCGCTGCACACTTGATGTCTTGGGTTGGAGTATTTTGGACAGTCTTTGGAGCACACCTTTCCTAGGGCTTGAATATTTCGAATCAAGCATTCTCTTTGCACACCTAAATGCCTGGATTCCACAGTTAGAGATTCATTCATATGGCTAAGTCTCTGCTGTGAACATGGAGACATGTCATTTATTAAACTGCCTGTCATTGAGGGCTTGGTGTCAATGTGCTTATTAGATTCTTTTAAAGTATAGGCTTCTCAGGGGACAGGAGCCAAGAACACGGAGTACAAGGCATTTGAGGTGACACAAAGAATATGAGGGGCATCACAGAACAGGGGGAAGGAGGCTGGACATAGGAACCAAGGACACCCGTTCCTCCCTGGACAACCTTAAGACACTTGTTGGAACACACGGGGCACAGGCTGAAGTGAGGGATGCCACATCCATGGCCATCTGTGGCTCTGGTGGCTCTGGACTGGGGACCACAGCTGGCTCTGGTCTCAGGCTGCAGTGCCTGGCTCAAGATGCCAGTCTGCACTGGTAACCACCCTCTGTGGAGTTCACAGCCTGACAGATACGTTAAAACAAGACCTCTGGGTCTTGACGAGCCTGGCCGGGAACAAATTGGAATCCCCCTTTTTTATACAGGTAGAGGCTCCTTATAGCAAATTCTGGAGGGATTCACGGTGGTTGTTTTAACACAACTTTGGTGACCTGCTGTTTTCCTCTGACCTGTAGGTCCCCAAAGAGGTATGTGCGTGCAGACAGCGATGTCCTTTGTTTGGGAAGACACAGTGTGGTTGCCTTTGAGATGGCCACAGAGCAGCTGCTCCTCCCACAAACAGACTCCCTCCCATGCGCCCTGGTGAGCTGGCTACCCTGAGAGCCGGTTAAGATACTCCCGAGTCCCACCTGCCAGGCCCTGTGGAAGGGGACAGTGGTGACTTTTGCCCCCTGTGTGCCTGGTGGCCTGATTCGAACAAGATTATTATAGCACAGCTTAGCCCCTTCTTTAGGACAGAATAAATAAGAATAAACGCCCTGATCTCTGATAAGAGAAGGAAGCTCCCACTTATCTTTTCAGCTCCAGGCTTTTCCTGCGTCTCCTCCATGATTTGTAACCGAGTTAGGAGACATGTCATCATTGTCATACTGACACCTGGGGGTTCCTGCCACCGTCCCAGGCTTCAGTCCATTCTCCCATCTGCCTTGGCCAGTTGGCTGGAGGAGCCCCGGGCAGCACCCCTGGGGAGGGGATGGGCATGGCTTGGTGGCAGCCACATAGCGTCAGCCCCCAATTCGTTCTGGCCCAGTGAGCCTCTCCCTGGCTGCATGCTGGCCACCCCGGCCTTCTCCTGACCACAGTGTAAGCATTTTCAGGGGGGTCCCAGTGTTGTGGCTGCCCTTATACTCAGGTCAGCAAGGGCTGGTTGGGGATCCCTGTGGAGTCCTGTCCAGGGCAGAGGGGGCAGGTGGCCTTGCTTTCTCCCCTGCTTAGCAGACCAGTGGCCCGAAGAGGGTCTGGTGATTATGAATGGACACTGTCCAACACTGTCCACTCTGGGGTGGGCGTTCTGGCTCCAGGTCACACAGATGTCACAGCCCTTGCAGCTTATCAGCACCTGGCCTCTGTCACAGGCGTCTTGATGAAGGTTGGCCATAAAGATACGGTGCCAGGGGAGGCTTAATTACAGCAATAATAACTCCGACTCCTGTGTTTTGAAGCACTCTGCAGCCACTAATTAGCCTGTGTCACACACCCACAGCCTCCTTCTCCCTCCGGCAAACAGATGGGTCACTGGGAGCATCTCCCCGCCCTGAGGAGAGCCAAGGCCCGGAGGGAGGCCTGGCTGCGCCTCCCCCGCCCGCCCCCCTAGGAGCT